AATAAGAATTCCAATTACGACATTTTCCACTTCTTGGCAAGTGATAGCTTCTTGGAAACTTAGATTTTCGTAAATGTTTCTATGCAGTTTGCCCATGGTTGACATGACTTTACTTTGTCGTATTATGTACATCACCACGGCAATTAAAGAGAAGACAATTTGGAATATCTCGATCCAATTCCACATGAGCTTGAAATATCGAAAACGATGATTGTAAAGCCTGAAAATTTCTCTAACAAAATACAGTAAAACAAATACAATGTACAGAAACAAGCAAATCAAATAAAACTGATGCGAGGGTGTGCCCGTAGAATCAAGTGAAAGGACACGAGTTTGCATGGAGGCTGCTATCAGTCCAGAAGCATCAACTTCATAGAAGTATGTGGCAACACCTAAAATATTCACCGACGGATTGAATGTAGAAAACTCTGCCAGGACAACTCTCGTTTTTCTGTCAAGCCAACCTTTGATCTGTAAACTTGTTATTATGCTGAATCCCGTATGGCTATCATACCCGAGGTCTGCTACAAATCCTCCTCCATCATAAAAGGAGAACTGTCCCCACCTGGGTGTAGTGTTGGTTTTCTTGGCATGTTGATATCGCCATGGCTGCGGGCAAAGTAGTAATAACTCGTCATTCCTCGAAGCATTGTCGACAGGCCTCCAGCCAGGTTTGCTGTAGGCGGTCTTGTCTTCGTTCTCTGTAGAGTATCCCTTGAAACATTCTTGGAACGATGTTTCCATATAATTTAGGACTTTGCATTGCGCTGAAAGTTAGAAAACAAATGGTCATAATCAGGAAGGTTTTTTTGGTATCCATTTCACTCAGGGATGACAAATTTCGTACTTTTAACAAATATGGACATTTCTGTTATGGAGAATTATTATTCAAAGTAGCATTTGCCTTCGGAGGACATCAAAACCTAAATTTAATCAACGTTCATAATAAACCATTAAACACCCAAATTTAACTAACGTAACCAGTGCATGTTCAAACAAAACCTAGCTATGTAAACACTTCTTTAGACAATTGTTACAATGTTCAGCAGCACTGAAATGCAAAAAAAGTAAGAATGGAAAAAACTTACCGGCTTTCACTCTAAGTTGCCGTACTCGAGCCATTCCGACAAGAAGAGAGTGTTTATTACCAATATAGATTGTTTGCTCTTCGTTTCGACCGTTATACCATCTGCCAGAAAACACTCCCGGGATGAAAACACGCTGTAACCAGTTCCAGTACATATAAATGAATAAATAAATAATTAAATGAATAAATAGAAATAGAAATATATATATATATATATATATATATATATGTACTTTTAAGTACAGTATAGTATGCATAGATGAGTAGAACTGGTTTGAGTCACACAAACGAGTTAGTATTTATGGGCATGCTGTAGACTATTATTCCCACGTGCTCATTCCCATGGTACCCAACCCCTTAAATAGTATGTTTGTATGAGGTAGCCGCTTTAACATGCGAGTTTTAGCAACGGAATTATGGTAATGAAATAATGTCTACTCACCTTGTCAAAGTTTGGTAGTCCATCTCGGATTGATTTCGTCATGAAGTAACGATGGTCATTTCTGTTTCCATAACACACTGCCATAAGCAAGAAAGCGAAGACCAAGTATAAACCCAACTCTGTGAAATAACGTGCCAGGTTCTGTTTCTTAACTTGTCGTCTCCTCATCTCTTCCACCTCTGATAATTGCAGAGCCCAAAAGTGTTTCTTATAGTACCCAGTTTTAACTTCCTGCGGAGGGCTTCCGCAGGCGTGTACTTTTGATCTCTTCGCCTTTATCTTTAAAATGGCCGCGAATGTTAAAGCTGTGAAGAACACTTTTACTGGTTCCTTGATTGTTACATCCTGTGCGAATGAAATAAACATCGAAGACAGCCACTGCTCACTGACACTCTTTTCCCAAATTAGACTGTAGGAAATTGAAAACGCAGCCGAAACAGTACAAGAAAAACATAACAAACACCAAGCGACACCACAGATCAGGGTACCTTTGAGACAATGGTCACTGTTCTTCGCAGACTTTTCAGCTCCTTTCTGAAACAGAAACACTATGACAATGTTTATGGGCGTCACAAGGAGCGCGCTTTCAATTCCAGTCACCACTTGTCTCCACGACATTTTCAGCGGTCCGACTTGGATAGGCTGTTCATATTTGCCTTCTAACTTATAGAACATCGCGTTAGCAAACATGGATGTCAAAAGTACTGAAAGGCAGCAAGAAAGCCGCTGCACTCTTGTAAAGTGGCTTTTTCTTAGCTTGGCTGCCACTGAAATCCAAATGTGCCACTCCGCGAGGCCTCTTCGCCAACGTCTTGCAACTTCATCGCCAAAATCCAGATGATTTGAGTTCTTGTCGATTATTCGCTCGATGCGCCCGTCTCCGCGCTCAAGAGCAAACCACTGATTGGCCATGAATTTCCACGACTGCTTGGATTGTACGTCCCGAATGACAATTTCCTCCAGGTACCACGAGGGATTATCTCCAAAATTATCATGTCCAATCTGTAATTCTTGAATCGAACCAAGTGATTTGTCAACATAAAGTACAAAAACATCTGAGTTACCTCGAGAGAATAACGTATTAACTACATCAGGCTCTTCTTGGCTAAGCTGAAGAACGCCACTCTTTCCATCAGAACCGTAAATCTCCAAAGCAACATGAGCAGTCGTGCTGGAGTTTTTCCAAGCCCCTGTGGTAATCACTATAACGTATTCATAGGTGCTGCTTGAAGATGATGGAAGTTGGATCGGTAATTCCCTCTAGAAAAATATGATAAACCATGAGTTCTTAACACAGCTAGCTAATTTGTACTCTTAAGTCGCCTTTTTGTCACATTCCAAAAAGAGAAAAAAAAACCCCGTAAACTTTGTAAACAGTTCAATTTAATTGGCTGTCACTTTTTTTCAAGGATATGCTCAACGCAGTCTCAAGTTAAAATTTCAATCTCAAAAAACCTTGAAAACTAATTATGTTGTCAACATTAAAACCTTTTTTATTTAAACCCTTTAACTCCCAGAGATTATCAACATGTAACTTCTCCCAAAAATGTTCGCGCATTATCCAGGTACAAGGTTATGAGAATATTCAAATTTATCAGAGAGAAGTTGTTATCTTGATCTATTAGCAACTTTTAATGACTTTTTTACAAAAAAAAAAAGATGTATGGCAACCGGAGCGGAGAATTGACGACCAGATCATGAAAGTGAAAGGGTTATACTGGAGAGCATGCTCTGTTAAAACAATGGTCCTAAGCAAAATCTAGTTCGACACTTACATTTTTCGCGTCTTCCTTGTCGAATTTCCTTACGACAACAAGCACAGTCATATAACACAATAAAACCACCGCAATAGCCACGATTACTGCAATATTTCCAGTTTCTGATAACTGCTGAAACTCGACTAGAACCTTGTCGAAGTCAATAGGATTCGGTTCGACTAAGAGACTTCCCCCAAATGATGTCAAATGGCTACAGCTACAGTTTAAAAATCCATTTAATTCTGCTAAAACCTGAAATTATAAAATACAAGGAAGATGTTAACAATAAAAATTATCATTTTGGCTGTCAACACTGATCACACTGTATCTTTTCTGTTTAAAGGCGCTGCTAGGCCCCAGCTGGTTATCAAATCGATTCGACTTTTGTCTAGTCAAAGATTAGCCTGAATTCAATGATAAGCTTAATGAGTTAAGACTACCACAAGACGACAGTGCTTTTGCAAACAATACTCGGGAAAGCTCAAATCATCTGAACTTTGTCGAATACAATGTCAAATTATAAAAAAAAAAGATTGTCCTGAAAATCGTCCCTTAACTTTTCACTTACCCGACAGCCAGATGATATCCACTTGTCAAAATTTTCTGACCAGTAAACACAACTACCCAAGGTCACCTTCAGAGTGTAGTTCTGGTCTGTTGTGGAATCATAAACTGGCATCACAGGGACATTTTCACTCTGGGGTGGGGTGGGTGGTGGATCTTTGACTTCGACGCAGGAGCGCTTCCTTCGCCTTCCACCAAGACAAGATCTTTTCTCCCTTTTATGAGATAAGTTCACTGTGGCATTGTAATTTTTTAAGCCGAGAAAGTACTTCCCGGGACGCTCAGCCAGAACTTGTATCGGTGTATGTGGATTCAAGGAGCAAACTGTTTGCCCTTCACTTTTGTTCTGAGCACTTATCATCCAGACACACTTTTTGTCATAAGAGATAGTAGCATTGAAGTCGTAGTTTTGAGTTGTCGGTCGCTGACTAAAACGCATATAGACAAACAGATGTACGGTTGGATCTTGAGGTTTGATTTCCAGCATCAGCAGGGTGTTTTCATACTTGACGTTTATCTCGTGGAAACGTAGATCATCGTTCTTTGTGAAATACCATGACTTTTCTGAAGCAGAGATTTTCTGAAGTTTTAAAGGCGTGACGATAACAATGTCTTCCGTGAGATTTGATACTTTAATAAGCTCGCTATCGTTGTTTTTCAAGAGCAGGGTTACAACATCAGAGCCAACTCGCTCCTTTGTGGCGTCCCAAGTGTAAGGATTGAAAGAAAATGAGAGCATCTAAAAGAAGAATAATTAAGAATTTTGCATGTTCGTTTTTGTGGACTGTTATAATTGAACACGTAAACATGGTACTCCGTCTTACTATTAATCATAAGTTATCATAAGTTGAGATCAAAATAAAACTGAAAATATATTTGAAGAACAACGAAAAATAAATAACATTCATGTTGTCTCTTCGGTCACATGACTCGATTCTTTTTTGCTGCCTTAGTGCCAGAGTTGAACACGTCAAAAGCAAAACAAGAAATGTGATTGCTGGAGGTAATAAGCAACCTTTAAGGTACATAAAGTGCTATTTTAACTTGACTGGTGTCGGTATCTGCAAAAAAAAAAAACTTGGATTGAAATTTGCCTGAAGGGCAGAAATACTTACCTGAACATTTACAAAACCTGTTTTGTTTACTCCAGAGAGTAACAATTGGCTTTTAGACGGTAAGATAAACCGGTCTTTTCCTGCTTTTATTTCCAGTCCTGAAAGTCTTTGGAGGCTATATCTTCCGAGTGTCATGAATAGTTGTCCTGCCATGAATGATATCGTTCTTTCATCAGGTACTGTCAAGGCCAACACTGAGTCTGCAACTTTCTCGAGGGTCTTCATTGAAATCTTCACCAGTAGTTTACCCTGTAGAAATTTCATAAATAACCATATAATGTAAGCAAACTATGGATTTTCGCAAGCTTAAAACAAACATAGATACAAACAAACCTTAAAAGGTCCCAAATATGAATGAAGAAGGGAGTAACGGTTAAGTTTACAACAATCATCAATGGACCATTCGCCAATGAATATAGACTAATGTACATTACAGTACCAGTTGTTGAAAACTTGATTTGAAGTTTTCTGATGCAATCACTGCTGCTGCCTTCAACACGCTATTAAGACATGAAGCTAAGTTTTCTGCTAATTGCTTTGTCAGTGGTATGTCTGCTACGTCTTGTTTCTGGGCAAGAGACCATAGTCGTGACGTCATTGAACTGATAGCAGATAAGGAGAAATTCTGTGGAGTGCAAATGAATTTAAATGAAGCTAAAAATTCTTGCTTTCAGATTTCTTTCCTATGACCGTCCTAGAGATAATTTGTGGCGAATTAGTTAAAGTATGTACAAAACTATAGGTTGGTTCATTTGATAACGCAGCAGTTGCTTGTTTTTATGCTTGTTCATTTCCGTTTTCTTCGTCTTTGCTGTTGTTGTTATTGCTGTTTTTCTGAGCTTTTCTGGTCAAATAGTTTCACGGTATGAAAACTTGACGTAACCACCAACGCTATTCCAGCCCCAAACAATATTACGTAAATAACTTACCAAAAACTGCTGGGGCACTTTCTTCAGAACAAGAAGAGCAGAGCCGATAACTGATGATTTTTGAAGCAGGTCCAAGACAGTTTTCGCTTCCAAGGGCGAAATTTTATCAAGGATGTCGTTCATCACCTTAAACAACGATAAAGATATTAGCTTAAAGTTATTTAAACCAGTAAAGAAATAGGCAACCAGACTGTATCCCCCATGTGAGGCTCGTTCCAAAGATATAGATCTAAAGGCATATTTAGACTCGACGTATCAGGTTTCCCTATGAAATTGCTAGTTAAAACCCATCAAATGATTTGCAAGGGCATGATTGATCTAAATGCATCAAGTCACCGAAAACGTCTAAGCAGAAAAAAAAAGGAATATTTGGTGATTTCTGCCCATGAAATGAACTTTTAAACCTAAATTTCAAGACGTTGTAAGTATTCCTTTGAAATTTATTCAAAGCATTCTCCTCAACATTCTTCATTCGTTAGAACGGAAGGTGAAACGCGAGAATAATGGAAAGTCAACGCTTAAAATGCACGAAACGATTCTCGCGCTGCAAAAACATCAGATATTTAACGCATAAGCCTCCATTTTTCTCAAAAGTATGTTGATATATTTAATGTATTATACTTGTCTGTTCTTCGAAAGTTGATTTTTTTTATTGTTATTATTTTCCTCATATAAATGTCTTCTCATTTTTTTGCACGTTTGGCCCTTGGTAAACTCTTTGCTTTTCGGATACTATCAGAATGAACTAGTTTTGTTTCACTTTTTAAGTAACGAATTGGGTTTGAAAAGTACCTTGTATTTCTCGTGCAAATCCATTGAGGTTTCATGTGAAACTGATAGAAGTAAAACGTTTGCTAGTAGCGCCGCTTCTCTCAAGTGTTTGATCTTAATGAATTTTTCACGAAGGTTTGCGATAAAATCGGGTGTTACATTCTGAGATGGCTTGATCTGCAAAATTCAAAAGTAGTTATCTATAACTATAATTAATCTATTTCTAATAGGGACTAAAAGAAATCAAATATTCTCACATCCTTTCACGTTAGACATTAAACTAATGGTTAGCAACCTACCTGAACTTTCAAAGACACTGGGGAGGCAGAAATTCCAAAATTGTCGGTCACTGTAGCGTTAACTTTGACAGTAAAATTATCTGTACTATTCCCAGGTGGTATCCAAGAGGTAGTTTTGTTGTTAGCGCCACGATATAACACATTGTACAAACCATTATCTAGCCTGTATTGAAACTGGTAGGACAGAGGAGTGTTGTCACTTTCCCAGTTGCTACAGCTCAGACTGAAATTAGTCTCCAGTGAGATGCCGCTTGGCGGAGTGATGGAGCAGTCCCCCCCTCTAGGGGGTATTGCTGTAGGGGTTATTGCTGTAGAGGTTATTGCTGTAGGGGTTATTGCTGTAGAAAAATCGTAAGTATTACTATCAGTCCCAATCCTTGCACCTAATAGAACATTAACAGAGTCAGGAGAAAAATTCATGCGCCATACAGCTGCACAATTTCTTGCAATTACCGGTACAGAAAGGTTCTATATAGACCTGTGATATCTAACACCAGGAGTTCCAGATATATTGAAAGAAAATAAAATTTAGTGGAAAAATTAGAATGCAGCGTGAGCTGGAAAAGCAAGATTATAAAAAATGGAGTATACTCATACAGGTTACTTTAATGAGAAATCTAAGCAAAATATTCGCCGCATTTAACCCTTTAACTCCCAGAAGTGATGAACATGTAACATCTCCCTGTGACATCCAACTAACTGAGAAATGTGTGGCAGCTAGAGGGAGAGTTAACAATTAGATCTTGGAAGTTAAAGGGTTAACAGTTTTTTCAACATCTACATGTGCTCGTACACATGCATTAACAGCTTTAATGTTGACAAAACTAGTACTTATGCAGATTTCCTATAAACTCATGTCATGACTTCAAAACTTAAAATAAATTTCAAATTTTTATTTATTCAGTTGAGGTTATTTAGATCAAATTGAGTCAAACGTTCTTGCGACAACACGATCAAGACTTATGTACAACTACCGGTAATGATGGGAAATGCAAACGGCGTAAAGGTTCGTAATTTCAAGGTTGTCACCATTACTCAATTTACAAAACTTGAATGAAACGGATATTTTATAATAAGTGGACGCTAGCGAGGACCTTTTTGGTTTCCTTTCAACACAGGTTTTACTAGATGCGTTATAACACCTCAAGTCGCCGCTGTTAAGAAGTGCTACACCTGAGTACATAGGATATAGTGTATAGTATATAGTATCATACCTTGCTGCGAAAGCGAAGGCGAAGGCGAAGGCGAAGGCGAAGGCGAAGGCGAAGGCGAAGGCGAAGGCGAAGGCGAAGGCGAAGGCGAAGGCGAAGGCGAAGGCGAAGGCGAAGGCGAAGGCGAAGGCGAAGGCGAAGGCGAAGGCGACGGCAACAGCAACGGCGACGGCGACGGCGAAGGCGAAGGCGAAGGCGACGGCAACAGCGACAGCCACGGCGATGGCGATGGCGATGGCGATGGCGATGGCGATGGCGATGGCGATGGCGATGGCGATGGCGATGGCGATGGCGATGGCGATGGCGATGGCGATGGCGATGGCGATGGCGATGGCGATGGCGATGGCGATGGCGATGGCGATGGCGATGGCGATGGCGATGGCGATGGCGATGGCGATGGCGATGGCGATGGCGATGGCGATGGCGATGGCGATGGCGATGGCGATGGCGATGCTTAAGATGGGTGAGAATGCCAATCTTCGATTAGAACGACATGTTAACCGAGTTCTTTTTTACTATTTACTGTAGATATTATCATACCTTGCTGCGACGGCAACGGCGACGGCGACGGCGACGGCGACGGCGACGGCGACGGCGACGGCGACGGCGACGGCGACGGCGACGGCGACGGCGACGGCGACGGCGACGGCGAAGGCGAGGGCGATGCTTAAGATGGATGAAAATGTTAATCTTCGATTAGAACGAGTTGTTAACTGAGCTATTTTTTACTGTTTACTGTATATAGTGTCATACCTTGCTGCGACGGCGATGCTTAAGATGGATGAGAATATTAATCTTCGATTACAACAACATGTGAACCGATCTCTTTTTTGCATTTTAGGGCTTTTCTCCTGGGACAGGTTTGTAAATTTTTCAAAATATTGGGTAGCGAATGACAGGGAACGCAAACGGTAATTTTAAGCTTGTCACCATTACTCAATTTATGTTTTGTACTTGGGACATATTTCACGCCATTATAGTGACCAACTCTTCTTACTTGCAGATTTCCTATAAACCTGTGGTATAAGCCTCATGTGATGACTTCAAAACTTTGATGCTCACTTAAAGGAGAATGAAAAATAAATTTCATATTTCTACTTATTCAGTTTAGGTTATTTAAATCAAATTGAGTCAAACGTTCTTGCGACAACACGATCAAGACTTATGTACAACTACCGGTAATTTATGAATGTTAGCCTACCTGGAACGGTAACCTTCAAATACAGTTTACGCATTAATCCTTAAAACCCTTCTAACAATGACTCACATTTAATCTCTCCCCACAGTACCACCCCTAAGTCACACATTAAGCCCATGAGAATAAAAGAGATGATCACCAACCCTAAGAAGCTTTTGATTGTTCTCCTTGATTCACCCACAGGGAGTGAGAGGGATAATCTATGTACCCCTAAACATTAAAGGGAAGGAGGCAGGTCAAAATAAAAACATGACGTCAAAGAGGAGATTGCCCATGAATTTCAGTCCTGATTAGAAGAGGATTATTGGTTTTCCAGATTTTTTTCTTTTTAAACTCAAATATCTTGTGATCAATTGACTAAATCAAAGTTTCCTTTGAAGAATGGGTAACAGCATTTGTAAGAACACCACTTTTGAATTCTTGAGCCTGAATATTTATTGCCATCCAATTTACATGTTACAACGTGGTAAATACTGCAAAATTAAATAATTACACAATTCTTAACAAAGGATGACAGGCTACAGACTCAGCTCCAACAACTTTTGAAGAAGTACGTATGGCAATCATGCAGTTACAACTATGATTAATATAAGTGAAAAGTTTGATAGCTGACAAATAATCATTACAATCATTGAACCTTATGCATTCTAACAAAAACAGGGTCAATAGCTCCAGAGCTTCTCTCATACATTCGTGTTTACAAAAAATCATTAACTTTTTTTCTCAGGGGGTGAGGGGGGTTCCACTATAAATAAAGTAGTTGTGCCAAGCACAAATATATCATTTCAGTTCTCATTGTACAGGTCAGATGAAAGGTACATTCCTATAGGGACTGACATTTCAATTTCCTCTGTCAGCAAACTGTTATCATCAGAAGTACAAGCCAAGACGTATTTACCAATTAAGCGCTCAAGTTTCCCCAAAAGTCACCCTTGTTACGAAGAGTAGATTTCACTACTTTTCCGGGCCATCTTCAGCTGGACCATCCTGTTACATGTGAAAACATAAAATGTTACTCTCATGATTAAATACTGAGCTGAATAAAAAATTATTACTTTTTTACAACCCGCTTCCTTTAATTGTCCTCCAGAAATACTAAATGATGTTGCATCGAAGAGAAATGAAGAGAGTTACTAAAGTATTCCAATTTAAAAGATAATTCATCCTTGATGTTGCCTCAAAAACATCTCTTAATCTAAATTACA